TCTTTAATATCAATAAAACTAATTTAACACTAGGCACATATGGGGTGAATATCAACAATAAAACTATACAATAACATAGCCTCATACATGAAGTTTAAGATGAGCTTTTAGAAAGAGTTATATCATTTTACATTTATTGATTTACTAATAGAAGATGATGGCTGTACATGTATGTCAATGAGAATGTTTATGCTACCCAGGAGTATTCTAACAACTTAGTGCTGTAAATTCAGAAATAATTGTGTTTTGAGTTTTTGGAAAGATTGGAACTATTGTTACTTTGGCTCACCAGCAACCCGGAAGATATCTTGATAAGTTCAGGTCGAACTTATCAACGTCGGTTCATTCATTATGACGTTGATGATTATATAGTCCAGGTCAAAGTTATTTAGGCCGGGTTAACGTATATGACGTCACAAAGCTGTGATATGCAATTTTATGAAGAGGCTGAGCTGATCAGAGTGATGCAGACAGTGGGAACACTGATAAAGCATATTTCACAGCTTTATCTACATAGCTATATAAAAAAAAAATCACTTTTTATAAACTTATATTTTAGGGGGGGGGGGGGTAGGGGAAATACTTTTTTCTATCACCCTCACCTATATTAAATCTTTGTCTGCAACTTCACACTGTAAGAAGTTATTCCATCACATAATTGTATATACTTGTACTTTAAAAAATGTGTTTGTTTTCTGGTGGGTATTGTAGATTTTCAATCATATATTAGACTAAAGTACAATATTGATAATTGTAGCTGTCTTTTTTGTAAACCTTTATTACAATTATTTATAATGATATAATGTACAATTTATCTCCACTAGAATAGTATCTAGGCCAGTTAATTGTTTATTTATATAATCAACATTCAACTTAATCAGTAGATGAACTCTTTGACCTTTGGTAATGTTTATATGCAATACACATATATCTGTTATTTTCTTATATAAACAAACTAAAACTTTAGCAGGAATTTAACATTCATTGAATTTAGAAGGTAATGTCATCTTTTTAAAAATTTTATTGGTTTAAAAGTTCTAATTTTTTTCTGACCTATTTTGGTTTATAAATTTATCAGAAAAAGTTTGAAATCTGAGTGAAATTTGGTTTAGGGGTGTTTCTTTTATCTTGTTTGACCTATTTTACTTTTTTGTACTAGTTCATTTATTTTTCATATAATAAGAAAGGTGTTTTATGAATAATGTAATTCAAAGATTTATGAATATTTTGTTAAATAAAGTAATGTATATATGCTCTGGTTAACAGAAAAGTGTGTCCAAAATTTAGCTCATTTTTTTCACCTATTTCTTGTTTAATGGAAATGGAATATGGTGTACAAATTCATGACACAAAATATGTACTGTAAATTCAGAAATTATTGCGATGTTTTTATTTTTGCGAAAAATGCGACAGGGTTATAATCGCAATGAATTAAACAGGAATTTTCACAATATCGCAAAAATTAAAATCGCGTTTTAGTCTAAAATGGTGAAATCGCAATAATTTCTGAATTTACAGTAACAAATTAATTGCTATTGACAAAACCTAAAGCAAAGGAACAATTCTTTTATTGCTGTTCTTCAGTTTGAGGTTACAATGTATAGTCTTCCAAAAGAGGGATCAAATTTTTGTAACCTGTGGTCCTTTGAATAAATTTATTCTTAAAAGTTATTAGATTAAATTTATTGCCTTTATTCATTCTATAATTGAAATTATTTATAATAGTTTAATTCATAACTAAGAGTATATTGCCTTCTTGTTATATACTTATATTATGGCATTACACAAAGTCATGATCTTCCAGATTATTCACAAAACTTAGAAATGTCAAAGATATATTGATTAATATTTTAGTCTGAAGAAAAGATGGTCAATTATAAGTTGAAATTGGGCTTTAAACAAGCTAATATTGGTTTTTCTCATTGTTGAAGGCTGTACGGTTGCCTATAATTGCTTACGCCCACTTCATTTGAACTTTGGAAGATAGTTGTCTCATTGGGAATCATACCACATCTCCTTATTTTTATATAAAAGCAGCTGAGTACTACAATGGATCAGGAGTACTTAATTGTGTCTCCCTTTATTTTGGAAGTTGATTTTCCTGCTTAAGACCAATCTGGGGAGCCTTTCAGATACTATGTAAAAACCTGCCAGGCTAAAGATTCATCACTAAAGGCTGTTGATTGTGTATTTTTGCATAACCGACATTTTACCCAACATTTTCTATAGGTGCCTCAGACAGTCCCAAGTATGTCTTTTGTTTTTGTAGGTTGTCGTCGGCGTTAACTTTTTACATTTTGAACTTCTTCTAGAGAACAACTGAATGGAATGAAACCAAACATGGCATGAATGTTCCTTATGAGGTGATGACCGAGTGTTGATACTTTGAAGCCGATCCATAATCCAAGATGGCCGCCAGCGGGGGACTTAGTTTAACATAGGACCCTATGGGAAATACATACAAATGTCTTCTTTTAGAGAACCACTGAATGGAATGAAACCAAACATGGCATGAATGTTCCTTATGAGGTGCTGACCAAGTGTTGTTACTATGAAGCTGATCCATAATCCAAGATGGCCGCCAGCGGGGGACTTAGTTTAACATAGGACCCTATGGGAAATACATACAAATGTCTTCTTTTAGAGAACCACTGAATGGAATGAAACCAAACATTGCATGAATGTTTCTTATGAGGTGCTGACCGAGTGTTGTTACTTTGAAGCTGATCCATAATCCAAGATGGCCGCCAGCAGGGGACTTAGCTTAACATTGGACTCTATGGGAAATACATACAAATGTCTTCTTTTAGAGAACCACTGAATGGAATGAAACCAAACATGGCATGAATGTTCCTTATGAGGTGCTGACCGAGTGTTGTTACTTTGAAGGCGATCCATAATCCAAGATGGCTGCCAGCGGGGGACTTAGTTTAACATGGGACCTTATGGGAAATACATACAAACGTCTTCTTTTAGAGAACCACTGAATGGAATGAAACCAAACATGGCAAGAATGTTCTTTATAAGGTGCTGACCAAGTGTTGTTACTTTGAAGCTGATCCATCATCCAAGATGGCAGCCAGCGGGGGACTTAGTTTAACATAGGACCCTATGGGAAATACATACAAATGTCTTCTTTTAGAGAACCACTGAATGGAATGAAACCAAACATGGCATGAATGTTCCTTATGAGGTGCTGACCAAGTGTTGTTACTATGAAGCCGATCCATAATCTAAGATGGCCGCCAGCGGAGGACTTAGTTTAACATAGGACCCTATGAGAAATACGTACAAATGTCTTCTTTTAGAGAACCATTGAATGGAATGAAACCAAACATGGCATGCATGTTCCTTTTGAGGTGCTGACCAAGTGTTGTTACTTTGAAGCTGATCCTTCATCCATGATGGCTGCCAGATGGGGAAAAGGTTTAACAAAGGACCCTATGGACAATACATACAAATGTCTTCTTTTAGAGAACCACATACTGAATGGATTGAAACCAAAAATGGCATGAATGTTCCTTATGAGGTGCTGACTAAGTTTTGTTACTTTGAAGCTGATCCTTCATCCATGATGGCCGCCAATGGGGGGACTTCCTTTAACATAAGATCCTATGGGAAATACATACAAATGCTTCTTCTAGAGGTGCACTGAATGGAATGAAACCAAAACATGGCATAAATGTTTCTTATGAGGTGATGATTAAGTGTTGTTACTTTGTTGCCGATTTACTGTTCCAGATGGCCACCAGGATTTTTTATTAAATTACAGGACCAATATTAAACCAAATTTGGCCTCACTCATTATTAGGGTATCTGTTATGATTTTAATCTATTTTTACATGATTTCCAAAACCAAAGTAGAATCAGGTGAGCGACACAGGCTCTTGAGAGCCTCTAGTTTCCTGTATAAACCTGACAGAATATATTGAGTTTTTCACAGTCTTAGATCTTCTTTGAATACTAGCATGCTTACATAAACTTTTTATTGTATTTTTTTTTTATAGGTCAAAGTCTCAAATGGCCAGGTTGCTTCATTTGGGATTAATTTTGCTGAAAAATGACAAAGTTCTATAGTCTGAAAAAATAAGTTTGAGAACAAAATTCCTCAAACAATTACATAATAGCAGATGCACAACTTAAACATATATGCAATCTTCCTATAGGAGGAGGTGATTACACAAATTAGGTACCCGATTTTCCTCGCACTCTGGCCTGGCCATCCGCCCATCTGCCTGTTGGACCAACATAACCATACTTTAAACCATCCATGGAAATCATCCAACCGGCTAAAATCATGATATAATTAAACAACATTTCTTTATAGTGTAAATAAAAATTTGTCACTTTTTGTTTATACTTCCATACTACCTTACAGTAAGGACTTAAAGTACATCCTTTGTATGAAGAAATAAATAAATATAGGCATGGGACTTAACCTATGCTGAACTAGCTGAAGTAAAACAACCATCCATACAAAGATTTATTAGTGAGAGTCAGTAAGGAAAAGTGTCATGTCTAAAAATTTATGATCTGAAATGTTGACTTTAGTATAAAATCTTGTCACCTGTACTTTTCTAATCCAGCAGTTAGACCCTTGCATAGGGCATCTGTATGACTGTGTAGGATCCACTTATTATTGGGACATAAGATCTAATACCTTGTACCTTGTATTGAGGGAATGCCAATCTCATTGCATGTTAAAGAAATCTTGCAGCAACTGTTGGGAATTTGCACTAGCAGATAGATGACCTAAAGTTGTCTCCCTTTCCAACATACCCGTACCACTTTTCAGTGGCAGTCCAAATTTCAGGTTCTTCAACCTGATCCGACTGTGACTTTGCAGCTACAAATTTAATTAATTGTTTACTTTGTTTTCATCATAAATTTGCAAGAAATATTTGCCACATATTTGAAAACAACAACAATTAATCTAATTAATTTCATCAGATCAACAAAATTTTGATGACATTTTAAACATTTGTATTTCTTCAGAGTTATGGATTTCAAGACAAAGTTGAAGTACATGTAGTCATTGGTAACGAGAGCTGTGACCTAGATTCTGCTGTTTGTTCAGTGGTCTTAGCCTACCTTCTAACACTTGTAAGTAAATTTGATTGGCTAATAGGTTAAAATATGCATTTTTGATATGGAATTAATTTTAACTTACAACACCGCTAATAAAATGTAAAATGAAATCTTGATAAATCTATACTTGGTCTGAGCAGGTTATTAAATGCAAATGCACTGCTACTTTGATAATTGATTCAAATAATGAAAGAAATGTTCTTTTGTTGATGATCTGCAATACGGAAAGCCTACATCAATAAGTCATTCATAATTTATTATAAATACAATTAGCAAGTTATGGAAAATTAACTTTTTCCATTTCCTATTGTTATGTTGCCATTACTACTTTTATTTTATAAAATTGACACAAATTATCAGTTTTGTGTGTTTTTTTGCTGTGCATGTACTGATTTTGTGTCATGGATGGATACCCCATATCCTTTGTTTTTCTATTAGATAAAATAACAATTAAATCAACAACACAATATGATAAATAAGATGTCTTAATCTATTTGATTGTGTTGTTGGTTTGCTGTGTAATTGGTACATCTACACACACACATTTGTAAGCATGAATAACTTTTATTAAAATTATTTCAAGCTTTTGTTGAAAAAATATCATTTTGATTATGATTTTTAATTATAAGACCTCAGGTACAAAAGACGTTGTTGTCATCCCAGTTCTAGACATTCCCCAGCAGAAGTACCATCTCAGGACAGAAACAACATTTTTACTAAGGAAGTATGAGATATCAGAAGAACTTTTGACCTTCAGTGATCAGATTGACCTTGATGACCTCCATAGACAAGGCAAGCTGAAGTTATCATTGGTTGATCATAATATCTTACCTGAGAAGTACATTCGATTGGATGATTGTGTTGTATCAGTGACTGACCACCGTCCACAAGTCAGAAAACAAGATAACAGGTTGGTGTCAGAATATTTATAGGTTACTGAATTTGCCAACATCAATCTTATTTTGATGGCTGTAAGTTTAGTTGAGTTTCAAGCCCTTCTCAGGATTTATACCCTCATAAAGAATTCTTAAACCGAAATATTTGAAAATCAAAGGACATTTTTGAAAATATTTGAATATTTGAGAAGCTATATACTGTAAACCAATTCATTTTTGTGGGTGATTTATTTTCACTACCTTGGATAATAGAAAAATAATGTGATACAAATCATCATAAATATGTAAAACATAGCTCTTTCCTTATTTAACTACATCAAGTTCATTTGAAAATAGTGAAATAAAATAGCCGCGATGTGGGCTAGAAAGGCCTAAACGTGATATAAAGTATCCATTATAGCATTTTAGTTTACAGTAATCAAAAGGAACCTAAAATGAATAGTCCAAATCCACCTAGGGTCAACTTTGCCTCAGGGAGTTTGAACCTTAGTTTCTAAATTTATTAATTGAGAATTAAAGAAAGGTATGTTATATATCATGGCTGTAACGAAGCACTGACTACTATAACGAAGCACTGACTACTGTAACGAAGCACTGACTACTATAACGAAGCACTGACTACTGTAACGAAGCACTGACTACTATAACGAAGCACTGACTACTGTAACGAAGCACTGACTACTGTAACGAAGCACTGACTACTGTAACGAAGCAATGACTACTATAACGAAGCACTGACTACTATAATGAAACACTGACTACTATAACGAAGCACTGACTACTATAACGAAGTACTGACTACTGAAGCACTGACTACTATAACGAAGTACTGACTACTGAAGCACTGACTACTATAACGAAGCACTGACTACTGTAACGAAGCACTGACTACTATAACGAAGCACTGACTACTCTAACGAAGCACTGACTACTGTAACGAAGCACTGACTACTGTAACGAAGCACTGACTACTATAACGAAGCACTGACTACTATAATGAAGCACTGACTACTCAGTTGATGATACCCTTAAATGAATTATTATTATATAATAACAAGGACTCAGAAGGACTCTTTTATCAAGATTAATGGGCATATAATTTCATTTTCCATGTTTATCTCAAAGATCTTTCGCAGTAAATGTGGAAGAAAGATTCTTCAAATATTCATTGAGAAAATAAATAGAATTAAGTTCCATCTTCTATGTGACAAATCTAATTTATCAAGAAACCTCAACCTTTCCAATTACATGGATTAGGTCTTTGTCTAAGATTCTGCAGCATCTCCCAGATGATGCATGCAAATGGAAAGATTTTAACAAAGTTGATGGATTGCTGAATTCTTCTTTTGTTAGCATTACGAGTGGTAATTAGATAAGCAGTTTTCAGTGAAACATTGAATAATTATTTTTTTCTCAGTTAAACAGAAAAATCAATTCACTAACCTATTGATAGATAAATTGTTGAGATGAAGTGTGAATTAAAAAATATGGTGACATCTTAGAAATGATATTATGATATGTAGGACTGTACCTTTAGCTTTTATTCTGAAAGAAAATATATATTTTATATGATAACAAATAATGAGGAGTTTGATAGGAAATATTAGATGGAGTGTGGATGTCATAAAAGATCAATCGTCATGTTATATATTGGAAATTAATTGATTATTAAGAATTAAACAAAGAACATATTAATGGTAGGTATATTTTTTATTATATTCAATTCATGAAGAAAAGGTGACTTTTTTTATTTTCTCACAACTATAAAGCTGATATTGACTTCCTAAATTTAACTTTTATAGACTATTTGTCTCATGGTTGTGGCCTGTTATCTATTTTCTGCATAAGAGATATTTCTTGTATCACACTGCACATAGTGTGATACAAAAAAGTGATAAGAAAAATGTTTTAATTGGATTGGTTAATCCAGAATCTTGAGATGATATTAAGAAATTTCCATTGGCTATTCGTTAGGTCATTGATTACTTTCAAAGGTTAAGACTATGTACAAATGTACATTTCGTCATGGCAACAGACATATGTGATTTCTTTAATCTTAAACAAATTGCTCACACTTTTCACCTGAAAATAATTTTGTCAAATTTAATTACATTCTGAATTGTACAAAAAGTTATAAAATGTCTGATCTTAAAGGTTGGCGCAGGAACAGGACATTTGACGTCATACTGGTATTTGCAAAAAACTAGATCAACTATTCACAGAATTTTATATTTACACAATGAGATTGTTGACCATAAGAGAAATAGGTTTAACAACTCGTGAGAATTGGATATTTAAGAAATAATTCATGAAAGCCATAGGTTTGTTGGAAATATTCGAATTTTATCCTGAGCGTTAGCGAAGGATAAAATTAATGAATATCACAGCCCAGGCCATGTGTAAACTTACAACAAATCTATGGCTTCCATGAATTATTTCGATTCTAATAGGACAAATATGGTCATTGAAAAACTGAAGCCAGGGTGGGTATGCCGTGTGTGTGGCTGTTCTGTTCTACTCCCTGTTAGATAAAGCTAAAACATTCTAATAAACCTGTAGTTTGCATGAATTATTCCGTAAACAACCGCTAGAAAAAATGTGCTTAATTCTTTTAATTCTCAAACCCAACATTTGCCATTTTTAATTTACATGTTTTCTCGTAAGCTACCGTCAAATCCAAAGTTGACATTTCGTAACTTAGGAGCCGCCATGTTGACTTGCTGAAATCAGTAAATATGCGAATAATGCAATAAAATAGAAAATAAAACAATACCTACCTCAAAAATCCCATTTTAATGTAATATTATACAAATTTCGATGGTTCACGTAACAGAAAAAACTTCAGCTTTAGCATTTTCATTTGTATGGCGTCATGTTTTGAAATGACTTAAATGCGCCAAAAGCATTAATAGACTTTCGCGGAATTTTATTTTATTTTGATTTTGTAGATTTCTCCAAGCTCTTGTGCATTAATTCTTTTTGTTATGCATCCGAATAAGAATAAAAGTTCTGTAGTCTTTTTTCAATTACAATTTTTAAAACAATAAAATTGGCATAGCGTTTGCAAATAGGTTCCAATACATGTGGATTTACGAGGGAGGTATCTTGTAACATCCATTATTATGTATATCTCTGAGTCTGCGCTAAGTATAGATTTATCAAAAATTTTATCACGTTGTTGTTTACAAAGCGAAAGAAGCACGTCATATTAGAATACTTGTTATAAACTCTAGTTAATAATTTAAATAGTAATTATAAACTCACCACAAGCTCATTTATTATTACATTAGAATTAAATAACTCGAGTTGATATCAAAGGATATCCAATTCTCACTTATTATGAAACCTATAAATATCTTTTCTGAGACTACTTATGATTGATATCTTTACCCTTAATCTGTTGGAGGTGTACTGATTGATATTTGAGTCCATGAGAACATAGAACCTTTAATTTATTCATTGATATTGGGCCCTGAACTAGCTTTTAGTAGCTGTGAGAACTCTTATATTGGTACTATCCAGAGGCCCCAGGTTAAGGGGAGAGTTGAGCACTCACAGACATGTTTTACTCCACCAACATCTTTATGTGCTTGTCCTAAGTCATGAACCCTTTTATACGCCCTTTTACGGGACGTATTATGATATACCATTGTCCGTCTGTCCATCTGTCGTCAACATGTCGGACAATACCTCAAAAATGCTTTAACCAATTTGCATGAAACTGTAGTGAATTGTTTATATCTATTAACGTGAGCTCCCTTTCAATTTTTGTAAATTTTGGATTTTATATTTCCGAGTTATGAAGGTCGTAATGGGGGAACCTTCATGACGAATAACGGTAAAAATTTTTGCCAAATGACGTTAACGATAATTTTTGGTGCATCATTAATGTATCCTGACGTATGGCGCGAAAAAAGGAGGTGTTTAAAATTGTATGTAAACATGTGCAATGGAGCACGAAATGTGTTTTCAATGTACACAAGTGTTTGAACAGAAGAATTTAGTGAAGGAATGCAGACGAAATATTCAGAATATTCACCATGAAATCGATATAACTATTAGAAATTTTGAAGTCAATTTACACTGGTGTTGAACTGCATGATGGTTTTGAACAAGAATGTTTTGTTTGCAGTAAGAAGTGCCATAATGGAGCATCCATAATGTCATACAGGGCATCCTGAATAATCCAGTCATTATATTACGATCACTTCGATCACTCCATTAATTTGAATTTTCCAAATTTCATAGAATTTTATTGTACTACCTGGATTGGGTAAGTTTGATCAAAAGGGCAAAATTTTGAAGGAAAAAAACAAATTTTAATGTAATTTTTTAAGTATTTTACTGAGAAATTATAAAATGTACACAGTTATTTGTAATGGGGCAAAGTAATTTAGACATCAATGAACATGATGAATAGCTTTTTTTTTTAACAAGACATCAATGAATAGAGTATTTATATCTCAGTCATCAAAATTTCTTTAAACATGTATAATGTATTAAATGAACAGTGGACATAATCAAGAAATGCATCAGAAGAAAAAGGTTGATTATTTCATACTGACAGAAGAAACAGAAGCATGAGTAGCAAAATCTCATGTACAAAAAATGTATGGGACTTATAATTTGGTACGCTAGAAATGCTATATAAAACTCATCAGTGGCACTGTGGCACATGAATCAAAACAGTAAGAAAGTCGAATCAAATACAAAGTTGAAAGTTGAAGAACATAAAAAACAGGGTTTAGTTTAATCCCATTAGATTTTTTTGTTAAATTGAGATACCGTTTTCCAAAAAGCTTTTCTTTCATGATAGAATTTACAATCTTGCCCGTGATCATCATTTAAATGTGTGCAATTTTGGAAGACGTCTAGGATTTTAACATTTTGGGCCATATGAATCCTAAACCCAAAGAAAGAACTGATTGACTTTTGTGTGCTTGTACAAATGTTTATTTTTGACACTTAGTATGTGGGATTGATAACATTTAGAAAGAATCTATACTACTAAAGG